GAGGGTCAGGGAAAAAGATGGCCATGAGGAAGATGGGCTCGAACTATCGGCGCAGATTTCAGTCGAAGCAGCGGCAGCTAGCAGCGGCAGTCGTAGTCGGCTGCAACGAAGTCCGCCACCCGCGCCTCAATCCCCACGACGCCTGACGCAGGAAGTTCACAGAGAGCGGCAACACTTGATGAGCAAGGGACGTAAGAAGGGTCAAGGGAGACAGGGAGCCGCAAGACAGAGAAAGATAGCGCTAAGTAAAAACTCAGCTCTAGACCAAAATCCCAAATGCACTACCAAAAAGATACTCTCGAAAATCGCCGGATATGGGGTTCGAACCCACGACCTCAAGGTTACCGCTTAAAAGCCTCGCGCTCTGCCAACTGAGCTAACCGGGCATGACACTGCCGATGTTTAGGAAGATTTCACAGACTCAGTTTGGAGGACATTTAGGAAGATTCCTCTTCCGACAGGGCATTTTTCGCTTTCAGAGTGCTTTTTTTCGAAGGCGGTCAAGTCAAGGGTTGACACGCTGATCAGACGCCACGTTTGCGACCGTAGCCGCCGCCAGGGTGGCACCCATCCAGCGCCCCAAGGGTCACCCAGTGGGTCGGTGGTTCTCCAACGCCAGAGACCAACTTCGTCCAACTCATTCGCGAAACCGGGTGTGGATCCAGGCTCAACACCATGACCCAGGTGCTGCCGTCAGACAGCGCTCGCGCTGCAGGAGACTCGCGGGCTGCGGTCTAGTGAGTGGTATTGCGAAACGATAGTGTTGCCGGGGCGCTGCGAGGGCTTTGGTGTGGGTCAAGTTAGTTGCGGGCCGCATGGGCTCTGGGGGGCATCGTGTGCTTGGAAAGGGCTTGACCTCCCGTGTCCACTCCCCCCCTTGACCCCCCGTTGAGTCGAAGACGCGGGAACTGCTCGCTGTTGTCCTGTTGGTGAATTTGTGAGATGCTTGACTGGTCTGGCGGGGGCGCCTTGCCACCAACGCCTCTTCGTTGCCCCGCAGCAGTGGGGTGGAGTCGGAACAGAGGTCTCAGCTCGCAGGATCACGGCTCTTGGTACTGTTGGTAGGCGATGCGTGAGTTTAGTCTGTGTTCAAGCAACCGAGGCAGGTAAGTTGAGGTGGATGAGGATGGGGAGGCGCTGGTGTTCTTCGAGGAAAAGGTTATCTCTGTGTTTTTGACCGATTGATTTTGATTCCATTGAGCCCCCCCCTCCCCCCCCTCCTCCACCCCTGGCCTATATACAGTAACCCCACCTACAAGTCCACTCCAACCCCCTCCCTCTTCCCCCCCTCCTACCCCCTACCAGCCCCGAAGCCCACCCCCCCTCGTCCAGACTCAGCCCCTCCACTGTTCCCAACCTCTCCCCACCCACTTCTTCCCATCCTGGGCAAGAAGCATCGCAAGCGTCGGCAGCATCCGCCACTTCGAGTTGATTGTCAATCGAACCGCCTGCCTAACGCTATCGATGGCGTCACTGCCATAGAAGACGGCATTGTCAAAGCGCCACCTCACAGCCCTTCCCTGAGCTCTCGGCACGTCCGAGCCTCGGCGAGAACGGGCGGCGGCGGGTAAATGATGTCTCGATGGTGGACAAAGACGATCGGCGGTGCGCCGGTGCGACTCGGCGACTCAGAATCGCGAAGCGGCGCGGCGACGATGCGCTGGGCACCAGGGACGACGATCCGGCTGGTCGACTCTGGGATTGCGATTTCCGCCTGCAGCGTCCCCTCGACGACGGCAATCTCGACCGTGGTTCCTGCCTCGGTGTTGGCACTGAAGGGCCAAGGGCTCTGGCGCACAGGGGAGGCACCTCGCCCAGTTTCGTTGCCAAGGGCAAGGACAGATATGGCGGAGGCGAAGGAGGCGAGGGAGGCGTGGGAGGCAAAAAGGGAGCACACGTTCATCTCTCTGCTGCTCAAAACGAGCCAGATGGAGGTGGTTCGGAACGCCCAGTCCGCGCAGGAGGCCTGTGACGCCTTGGTAAGGGTCCATGCCTCGCACACGAGGGCGCACACCAACCGGCTGAAGCCCGAGTTATATTCGCTTAGAATGGAAGGCACGACAGTGGGGGAGCAGGTCAGCCGCTTCCAGGAGCTCGCGAACAGGCTGCAGGGGGCCGGGAAGAAGGTGCTAGACGACGACAAGGTCTGAATCTTGCTCTACAGCCTCCCTCAGACCTGGAAGGTCTTCAGGACTGTCCACAAAGCAAACGCCAAGCACACCATTCATGGGCTGCGGTGGAAGATCCTCGCAGAGGATAGCCTGTCGACGGGAGCCATCCCAACGGGTGACAGAGTCGCAGCCCTCACTGTTACGAGCGCGAGGGGAGCGCCACCATTGATACAAGGCAGGAGTAGGCCCAAGGGCAGCTGCAACAACTGCTGGCATGCAGCCGGCAGAAAACAGGCCAGAGGAACAAAAAAAGGAGGGAGGAACTTCTCGTAAGGGCAAGGAGGATCAAGGGGGCGCGAAAAAGACAGGAAAGGAGGCGGGATACCCACAGTAGTCGATGACTACTACACACTTGTCTGTGTCGAGGCAAAAGGCGAACCAACAGATTTCTTGCTCGCAGTGGGCCCCTCACGAATCAGGGACCCACGATGGGCCCTGTACTCAGGTGCGTCGGAGGACATTACTGACGATGCGTCCCTCCTCAAAGACATCAAACCTCTCAATTGCCACCACAAGATTATGATCAGTGACGGCACAAAGCTTCGAGCCACAACTTTGGGATCCGCCACAATTGAAGCCCCGACATCCGATGGACGGCACTACCCTGTAAGTGTCTCGGACCTGCTGCTAGTACCGGGACTGGGCATTGACCTCCTCTCTGTCGGCTCCATCAAGCGAAAGGGCAGTGGGGATCTGTTAGCCGCAGATTACTGCAGAATCCTTGATAAGCAGGGTAAGTGTAGAGTCACCGCAACACTTCACGGAAGACTGTTCATTTGCGATGCCCACAATGGAGCGGAGGACTCGGCTATGGCAGCGGGAACATGCCATGCCCCAAGCATCTTGAAGTTGCACAAAAGATACGGCCAACTGGACATCGACACACTCAGGAAGCTGGCTTCAAATGCGACGGTGGAGGGCATTGACGCAGAGGACCGCTCTGCGAGCAGTGTCTGACGAGGAAGGATACCGCGACGGACATCCCCAAGGACAGGACAATAGAGGTAGCGGGCGAGACTGACCTACTCCGCGTCATCCCTGTTTACATTGCTAGGCCAATGGAGATCTCATCCCACAGAGGATCAAGGAACTTCATCACCTTCGTCAACGGCCACAGTCGCACGATCGATGTGACGTTCCTGGCGCAGATGAGTCAAGCGCTATATATATCTCGACCGCAGCCTACATCCACAACAGCAGCCTGTTGGCAGCCCTTGGGTCTTCCGAGAACTTGTACACTGGAAGGAAACCCAATGTTGACCACCTGCGCATATTCGGGTGCAAGATGTACGTGCTTATCCTGTCGAAAAGGCGCAAGGAACTCAACGACTACCCATACAAGGGCTTCCTCGTCGGGTTTGCCACGCAAATGAAAGGTCACTGCATCTGGGTGCCAGAGCTGACACGGGCGATCCATAGCTAGAGCATGCGCTTTAACAAGAACCGAGCGCTACGCATCAAGCCTTCGGACACCAACGAACACTCCTTCTGGGACAAGGCCAAGGAGAACAAGTAGTGGGTCGCGGAGCACATTGCAAGCAGCAGGGAGCCCTAAAGCAGGGGAAGCACAAGCCATGGCCCTACTCCATAATTGACTATCGCGCATCTGACGATGACCAGCAGGCCAACAGGCTGGAGAAGACGCGCCCCGACACCCGACGGAACCGCCTGCCACCTTGGCGTGGTGAATCGCGAATTGTGGTGACCGGCAGCAGGAACACACACAGAGGAAGTTCTTTTACAAAATCAAACGAGGCGCAAAGGGAGAGATTCTTCGCCACAAGGCACGGCTGGTGGCCTAGGGCTACAGCCAGCGCAAGGACATTGACATTATGGTGATGTACACGCCAGTAGCCAAGTTTGTGTCGATCCGGACGCTCCTGGCAGCAGTGGCAAAGGAGGACTAGCAGGTGCACCAGATGGGCGTGAAGACTACGCGTCAACGCGGATCTCGAGGACAATGAGGGCACCATCAAGTTTGCACAGAACCCGGTGTTCCATGCGCAGACCAAGTACATAGAGGTCGCCCATCACTTTGCACGCAAGAGGTTCCAAGACGGGACGATTGCGCTCGCCTACTGTAAGTCTGGTGACATGATCGCGGACGCACTGACCAAGGCCCTTCCCATTGCCCAACAAGTTCATCTCCCCAGCCTGATGGATCTGAAGTCAGGAGTGTTGAAGGGGGCTGGAACTCGGGAGTTGGACCATCGAGGCTGATGATTCGAGGGAAAGTGTTGAAATTGGAATGCAGCTTGTTGAGAGGAATCAAACACAATTGAGATGATCAAATTTGGTTGGGCGCAACAGGAGGGGCCAGAGGAAAGCTTTGGGCCCATCTGAGAGGCATGTCAGATTGGAAATCAATCTGATCGGATCAGATCGGGTGGAGTCAGATCAGATCGCAAATTATTCCTAACTGGCTGTGCTTTGTACGTACATAGTGGCAGGCGTGGGACGAGGTTGAACTTCAGTGTCTCTGTGCTGAAGTCAACTGTCCCAGGTATTTGGAGGGAGCATCTGTGCAGACCCTGTGAAGGAGGGTGAAGGAGCTGAACAATACACACAGCGTCTTTGTGCTGAAGTCAACATTCCCAGTGTTTCCACCACGCAACACCAACACCTTTCCAGCGTGTCTGAGTGTCGCAAAGCTTATTCCTTGGACAGCTATCATCTGTTAGCTCCAACACTCCCCCTCAAAGGGCTCCAAGGGAGAACATTTCGCATGTCACCTCTGGTGCTACCATGTTGGAAACTGCCAACTCATGAGGTGCCGATCTTCTTTCAGACCGTCAAGCATGCCTCAATTTGGGTACTTGGCGGCTAACATGGATTGATTGGGACTCGAGCCCGGGATTTTCTGATTGCCAGTACAGATGCTCTTGCACTGAGCTACCAGTCTGTGGACTTGGTTGGTACGCTTCCATCTTGGGCTCCCCCCAACCCCAACCCCCTTCTGGCGTGTCAGAGCATCGCGGAAGTTATTTCTTGGACAGCTATCATGCATTACCTCCAAAAAAGAAATACTTGTCTGCAATATACCTAGTTTTCTGCCTTCTTATGAAACTGTCTTTCATCTGCCTAAAGCAGGAGGCATTATCTTTGTACAGTACAGTTGGACTGTCATTCACTACAAATCCCCATGATCATAGGGCATTGGAGATTAAACCTCTTAGCAAAACCAACTCACAGCTTGCAGCATGGAGTGTCGGAATCCCAGAGTGATTCCTTGACGTCCCAGTGAAGATTATTTCACTGAACTAGCAAGAAATAGCGGTTTCATTGTCAGTGAAAACATATCAGGTTCGTGACTTGGCTTTCACGAGATCAGACATGAACCCTGCATCGGCACAGCGAATTAATTCAGCCGTGGCAGTTATTCCTAGGATGTTGAATAAACCAAGGTCAACCGTGCCATCAAGATATCTTAGAACATGTTTAACGCTGTTCCAATAGCAAACAGAGGGCTCTTTGCTAAAATAAGCGGGCAAGGTGACCGCGAGTGAGATGTCTGAACCTGTGTATTTAGCCAAATATAAGGGAGCGCTGATAGCCTCAAGATTTATACGCGGGTCTCTAAATAAGAAGTCCTCTGAATATTTTGGATCAAACGGCCTGAACCTGTCGTTCTAAGGGCTAAGTTCATGCTGAACATGAGGCAATTTCAGTGAATGCCCGTCCACATGGTTAATATTTCTAAGACTTTGTAACTATAGATCTTCTGGTGAAGCATTATTCCCTCTTTGAAGTGCTCTACTTCCTGATCAAGGCAGAACGAGGTCTTGCCAAGTCCTTCATTTCAATTCACCCATGAGGAACTTAACAATAAGGTCAATTTAATCTAGTGAACAGATGAGGTTAAGGCCATCAACATAGACTGCAATAATGACAAAGCTACCATTTGCTATCTTTTTCATGAAGACATTGGGAAAATTTGGACTGTTTACATAGCCAGCTTTTGATAGAAAGTCTGTTAACCTTTGGTACCACATGCGTTCTGAGCATTCAATTTCAAAGAGTGATCTTGGGAGACTTGCACAATACTCAGCCCTGGAACTTGTATTCGGTGCTTTAAATCTGTCGGTTACTTTCACAAAGACATCCTTGTCCAAGTGGCTGTCTAGATATGCGGTAACCACGTCCATTACACTCATTTTGGCATCCCCGTGCGCCGCAGGGGAAACAAGAAATCGGAAAGTTGTGGCATCCTTGCGAGGAGAATAAGTTTCCTCATACTCTATTGCAGGTCTTTGCAACAAACCTTGGCCCACAAGTCAGGCCATGTAGAACATTACATTCTGAGATTCGTCTCCTATGAAACCCCATGTGTATCTGACAGGTGGAACCCCCTTTGGAATTTCCAGAACGGGAGCAAAAACGTTGTGTTTAAGCAAGGAATCTATTTCCGCTTTAATTGAATGTGCCATTGAGGCCAGTCCACCCCAAGTTTGCATTCTGCACAAGAATGGGGTTCCGGCTCTTCGTCAGGGTCAAGATCGATTTCAATAGCCATGGCTTCTGCCAATGCATCGCTTACAAGCTCATCGTTTCGAACATGCAGTTCCTCTTGTTTACATAATTGGGCAAATGCAATTTCTACATAGTTGACGAGACGTTCAGGCGTGCCTATGGTTATCTCAATATTGCATTGAGTTGCTCCTTCTTTGCCTTTTTTTTGTATGTTCAGAGTCCGGGATTTTAGGCCTTTAGCTCTTTGGCCGTCCAGCATGTCTATTGGGTTCAGAGTTGGACTTCGCAGGAATGAGGAGGCCCAACTCGTTCACATCTTAGCTTACTTGTGTAGTCAAGCTAGGATGGAGTGATGAACTATTTGTATTAGCTGAAGTGCTAAAACTGTCAGGGGTACTTTGGGCACTTTCTCGCAATTGCAAGAGACGTGCAACCTCCTCGTAGGCAGTGCTATGAAAAAGATCAAGCCATCCTCTTGATTCGCTCACCCAAACCAAACTAGAGAAGTCACGACTCTCTTCTAATGCCTTGTTTGTTTAAGTTCCCAACCTTGAGAACAGCGACTCGTCAAATCGACAGTGGGCAAGGTGTGCTTCAAATGTGTCCCAAGTCATGGGTTCCACGTATTTGAAACTGCTAGGACTTTAGAATCCAATGTATGTACCAAGCCACCGCCTGGCCTTCATCTTCTGCCTTTTGGGGACCTCCTTGATGGGAAAACAGATGGCGCTTCCAAAGATTCTCAAACAAGAAAAGTAAGGCATTGTGCCAAAAATGTGCTGGGGTGGGGGAAAATCATTTTCCTTAGTTGGACAGAGGTGGATAAGAGAGGTAGCGTGAAGAATGGCCCAGCCCTCTGTTTCAATGTCAAGTTAGGTACGCGTCAACATAGATGGGCAATCCATTGTAACCTTTTAATAGATGACTCTGCAAGTCCATTCTGATAGTGAACTATCGAAAGTGTACTCCAAAAGAATACCCTGAGATTCACAGTAGTCAGCAAGATGTTTGGATATGTGTTCGTCTGCCTCATCCAGATGGATAGCTCGAATCTTATGGTCAGGGACTTGTGCCGCTTACTTAAAGAGTGCCGCCCGCCAAAATCCCAACGAAGACTAAGTTTTGGGAATCAAGGAGACAGACAGAGGACAAATTCAAATTAGGTTAGGGTTAGGGTTATTGTTTCAACAATTACCAAGAAGAACAAAATTGGTCCACATACTGATGCATTCGGACCGCAGACGTCAACATAGACTCGCCTTAGTGAGTTCCCTTCTGCCAGTGTGGTCTTAGAATACGCCGGCGCCTTTTTAATGTTTCCCAAGGCACAAGGTTCACAGTTGATGTCATCTGGCGCCCTGATATCAGCTGGTTTAATGGTGTGGATGAGGGAATTTTTAATAGGGCGTCGAGCCATGGTTGTGCGAGGATGGCCTAACGCTCATGCCTGATATTATATTCTGACTTAGCATTTATCTGGGATGCTTTGACCAGAACTTCACTCTCTTTCAAACTTGAAGAACCGTCCCCCACATTCGCAATAGCCATGGGACCAGCTTTCCCATCTATTGCACGGTGCGATGAGATGCAATATGAGAAATCTTTGTGACATAACGGCGATGACCTGCCCAATTGCAGTCTTGATAACCGTTCTATTGGTTCTAGAATAAATTTGAAGAACCTCTTGGTTATTAACAGTGTTTGTCATGACATTGTCACCGTTGGCATGAATATCCCTGAGACTTAAAAATGTTTGGGGTGATTTAGGAGAATACAAACCGTCTTATACATCAAGCCTTGTCCCACTGGGTGAAACGACAACTGCTTGTTGCGTCCCTCAATTATTGAGGGAAACTCCTGGACTGTTGTCAATCAGGATTTACACAGATTGAGTTAGGTAACGCAGGTCCTTTCCCCAACAATTGGGTTGCTTGTTCCACTGTCTATAATACATATCTTGGGCGCATCCATATCCCTAGCATCATTATCTTTACACACAGCATTGGCTTCAAGGTTAATGACGGTGTTACCAATAGCTGTCCGAAGGGAATAATGACAAGATGGAACAGAATTGGAAAAGTGAAACAACCATTCCAGGCCTAGGTCAAAGGCTTCTATAGTGTGTGCCACCAGTCCATTGGAGAAGTTGGGGTCAACTTCCAAAAACAAAGAAACCTGTTTGCTTTGGTGGGGAGGACTGGGTTGTCAAAGGATAGGCCATGTTCTTTCCCTTCTGGCTTAAAGCTTTAATCTGACTAAATGGGACTGGATCGAGGAGGAGTGGGCGACTGAACTACATCCGACACACCAATGGCCAGTGGGCCCACATTGACTGCAAATGTGTGAGGATTTATCAAAGGTTTTCCCGTTTCACTTATCCTTGGACTAAGCCTTCCCCTTGCTCTTAGACTTACCTCCTCCATCATGTTGTCTATGCCCTAGCTGCCTCCACCGCATTTGCCTTTGTTGAGCTTAGACTTGCCATTACCATTTGCCTTAACCTTGCCTCATTCAGCATTGTGAGCTTCAGGGGAATCAACTTTAATCCAACAGGGCAGAGGTTCCCATTGCGGGAAGCCATGTTAAGTCCTTCCTCGTCCACACAAAGTGTATGAATATGATTGTCAAACAATTCCAATTACTTGAACATGTTGGGATCCGAAGTTGTAAAGGTTTTAGAATTGCGGTTTTCGTCACTTACTTGGACCCCGCAACGGGCCAACTGGGCATTGACAAGCCAGACCTTACCAGCACATGCATTGGCGTCAGTGAAGTGGTCAGCATCACAAAGGTTGTTTCAATTTGTTGGTGGCGACGCGGGGTTTAAGGAGGGCAGCTTGGCCGCGGAACCTATGTTGGAGGGCAGGGAACAAATAGAAGGGGACTTTTAGATAGGTCTGCATTCTTCCTTCAGCAGTTTATCAATACAGCCTTGGAGCTAATACATAGCACTGGCGCCCCCAGTACCCTAGCAGATTGCCTCGCCGCCCACTCCTTAGCTTTTTGGTTGGTGACCAACAGAGGTTGGTCATCCGGTACTTCTTCGTGTTCCTTGTCCATGACTCAGCTCCGATGGTGTTGCGGATATTGGGTCCTTTGTGTTTCAAGAAGATTTTGACTTTTCAACTCACGACAACCTTTGCCACCATGGTAGTCGAGCTCCTTGAAGCGGCGCTTCTTTTCGTCGTCAGAGTCGCAATTGCGTCCCATGATGGTTAAGTAGATGGAGAAAGTGAGGGTGTAGCTTGTGGGGGCCGGTGCTGATAACGTAAAATGATTTGAGTTGTTGAAGGGAGTGAAGAAGAATGCACCGGAGATCAAAGGTGCCCATTTTCCTCAGTACTAAATTACAGTGATTCCTCTCCAGGACATGTGGTCTAATTCATAATCAATGGAGACATTCCCTATTGACAAGCAATT